GCGGTCCGATTCAAAAGTCGCGTTCGGCGCTGCAACCTGCTCGAAACGGAGCAACACTTTAATGCTTCCCTGTGTCCAAGAGAGGAACATCACAGGACCTTCATAGAAAAACCTGCCAATTTTAAGGAAAAATTTGAACAAAGTCGAGTTTTTTTTTAACTTGTTAGTATTTTTCTTAACCAATCGGTCGTCCATAGTTTGCCCTGAGGTCTTATGGTCAAGGGATCTCGAACGGATATTCTTTCATCCCTCAACGTATTGCCTTGCAATAATGTTCCGTTTTTCGTTTGTTTGCGATTATTTTTCAAAGGTCACAGCTTTATGCACACAATCACTTCCCTCATTACGGATTCCCTCCTTTTTGCTACCTTTTCAACAAACGACCAAGCATCTATATAAAAAAAAAACTTCGTCATCTTGAACACAAAAAATGGAGAAAATGGAGAAAAAATTCTACATTGATTTTTGTAATGACAGTAAAAGGTCATAGGTTCTCCTTCATGACCAGGTGCCGCACAGTGGGATGCGGTCAAAATCCCGGACGCGATTTGAGCTCCAGGGTCGCTAAATGGGACTCGAACAGAACGTGTGACCCCAACTCCAGACTGCTCTCCGAGTGAGGAGTCCTTTGGGGGTCACATACGTTCGGTTCGAGTCCTGTTTAGCGACTCTGGTACTCAAAACGCGTATGGAGCTTTGGCCGCCTACACCGGTCGTTTGGCCCACTGCGCGCCGCAGCACTGCGGGGAAGTCCCAACTCACCCCATGGCTGCGCGGTGCGTCCTTTCCGCGGGTATTCACTAGACACCGTCACACACGCGTCACGCACTGGCCTTCGTCACACACTGTCACTGACACAGACACAAACACACACACACGGTCAGCACGACATCCTCGTGGCGGCGCGCGGGGAGCTCGTCGCGACAATGCAGGCTCGACGGTACCGCCGTGGCCACGATCTGCAGAGAACTGCACTGACAGCTGTTACGCGGCGCGCGGCCCGGCCCAGCGCGGGGGGAGGGAGGGGAGGGGAGGGGGGGGGGAGGGGGAGGGCCCGGAGGCAGTAGCGGAGGGGGCCGCGGGTTTATCCTACTTTGTGTGAAAATATCAGCGCGCCTCCTCCCCCTCCCCCCTCCCCCTCCCCGGCCCCGGAGGCGTCGGCCAATGACGTCCCGGCGCCCGCCGCACCCTGCCCCTCCCCCCCTCCCCCTCCCCTCGTCGCGGCGTCGCAAGCAGCACTGTCTCTCTGTTCTATCTTTCGCTCGTCGGGGCCGGGCTGCCTGCGCTGCCCGCGGCGGCCTGCACTGCAAGCACGCCCGGCCTAGAGGGCCCGGCCTGGCCCAGCCCCGCCAATGTCAAGGTGGGCCGCCGACGTCGACGAGCGACCAAGACGTGGCGAGGAGTACGTACAATGAACGACAATGCACAGCGAGGAGAATGCGCAATGAAAGACAATGCACAGCGAGAAGTATGCGCGATGAACGACAATGCACAGCGAGAAGTATGCGCGATGAACGACAATGTGCACTCAGCGAGAATAGCAGTGACTCGAAACAAATGACAAGGATAATTGCTCTAAAAATGCACATTCCAGTAATTTCTGGTTTCAAGAAATGTGGTGTACTCCGAGTAGCGAGTAACGTCACGCAAGTGCCCATGAACGACAATGCACAGCGAGAAGTATGCGCGATGAACGACAATGCACAGCGAGAAGTATGCGCGATGAACGACAATGCACAGCGAGAAGTATGCGCGATGAACGACAATGCACAGCGAGAAGTATGCGCGATGAACGACAATGTGCACTCAGGAGAATAACATTACTCGAAACAAGAATGACAAGGATAATTTGCCTCTAAAACTGCCCTATTCCAAGTAAATTTTCTTGTTTCAAGAAATGTTTTTGTGGGTGTACTCCGAGTAGCGAGTAGCACGCATCGAACGGCAAATGTGCAACAATGAACGCACAATGCACGTCGCCTGGAAATTCTATTTTCATTCAAGTCGTGTAATGAGAAATGCCACGGGCTGCAGGGGCGAGGTAGGCCAACCCGCAACACACGCGTGTGTGGCGGGTTGGCCTACCCCGACTTTCGCAGGGGTTTCTTGAGCTGGCAGCCGAAACAGTCCCTTCCGTTTCATTTTCGTGTTGAGTTTCTGCTCCCGTCTCTGTCGCCGCGACACTGTTGTTGGATTTGGGAGCCCACGCACGGCAAGGCCCGCCTTCGCGAAACGCCGCCACTCTCCTGGAATTCTCATCACGCTCGCCAAATCCAGCGAGCGAGCCGCAAGGGGCACGAGATGGTATCCTTCCCGAGGGACCCTCCGGGACGGCCGGGACGGCCGGGACCTTCGCCTTGTCCGAGGACTCCACCGGGCCGGCCGGACCACCACATCTGGGGCAACGCGCCGCGCCGTGCCGCGCCGTGCCGTGCCGCGCAGCTCTACGCTACGCCGTGACGTTCCACTCCGTGCCGTGCCGTGGCGAGCCGTGCCAGAGCGTGCCGTGGCGTGCCGTGCCATTATCGTTCTATCGGTATTTCACACACAGGTTATTTGAAAAGAGCGCCGGATTCCGTCTCGCCAGTACAGTTTTGTGCCTCGGAGCGGGCATTCCGTTGTGCGGGGAAGGAGATGCCGGGGACAGGATCAGAGGGAGGGGGTTGGAAGGGCAGGGTCAGAAGGAGAGGATCGAATGGAAGGATCAGAGGGAGGGGATCGATAGAACAGGATCAGAGGGAGGGAGATGATCGAAGAGAAGGACCAGAGGAAGGGGATTGGAAGGGCAGGATCAGAAGGATCAAAAGAGAAGGATCAAAGGGAAGGGATCGATTGAGCAGGATTAGAGGGAGGGGAATAGGCAGTGGATCGGCCAGCGAGTAAAGTCGAGAGAGCGTGTCCAGGAATGCTCGCGTATGGAGACCTCAACGCACGACTGACACCAAAGTGCCCCGAAAATTAAGCCACTACAGTGAAACAAAAAAAAAGTGAAATGTGAAATGGAACCTCTCACTTCCGCCGCCCAGCAGGCCTCGGCACATCCTGGCTCGCCACTCCACCGCATCCTTCGAGTCTTTATAACTCGCACGGAATAAAAAGCATTGCGTCATCATAAAGTACCACCTGTGTAAAACTCTTGTTGCAAGTACACACACGCCGACGAATTTCTACACTGTTCGAGCGCAAACCCACAGAGAAGTTCGTAGCGCTCAAGGAAAATTTGGCGTTTTCTCTTTGAGTCTTTGCTCGGGTCTTTGGGACAGAAAGAAAAATGCATGCGGACTGGACAACAACTTTGTGACCATAATCTCGCATAATACAGTAGAAGAACATTGACCGTATGTTTTGATCCATACTTTTCTGTGAAGTAACATCCTTTTGATGACTGACGTTCTTCAATCTGCCAAATAGAAACGAAAACAAAACAGCAGTGGGATCGAGCTTCGGGCCTCTGCGACACCGGGTCACGAGAGGCTGAACAGTGTGTGAGACGGTCGACTTGGCGCGGAACTGCATTTTGACCCTTTACAACTTTGCGCGCGCAGAAGCAGCATAAAAACGCCATGCAGTGTGTCTCCTTGCCTCCCCGCGTGCATTTAGAACGGCAGCAGAGTGTGCGTACGTTCGCGTCGTATGTGTGAGTGCCTCTGTCTGTGTGTCAGTGTGTCTGTGAACGAAGTGTGTGTGTGTGTGAGAGCGTGTGTGTATATACGAAGCCGCCGCTGTCCTACACGCTAACCGTGTCATCGGGGAAGTAATGCAGATTGCTGGCCAGATGTAGTCCTGCACCACGCCCGCCCCGCCCCGCCTCACCGCCCGACGAGTCACAATGGCCAGTGGTGCGTTGCGCCCGTGTTATGTCTCGGTATGACTGTGTGACTGTGTGTCTGTAGGCCAAGAGCAAGCGAGCCGGCACTGCGGCGCGGCGGGAAGCCTCTTCGTCTCCCTTCCCCTTTTTTCGCAGAGTAGTTCCGCCGCGGCGAGGATAGGTCCTATCTACGCCGCAGAGTACCGCACCACATTGTACCAGACTACTTGAAGGCGCAGCGCGCGCAGCGGCACGGCATCCCGCACGGCGCTCCGTCTCCGTCGCGCCCTCAGGCGAGCCATGGCGATGCCCGACCGCAGTTGCCTTGCGTGAGTGAGTGTCAATCCCTTTGTGCCTTCATTGTCTCCAACTTTACGCTCAACTTGAAGACGCTCTCAGAACGTGCCAACTTGACAAAACGAATTCAGGAACGTTGAAGCGTTTGCAACTCTTTATTTTGATGAGCTTTGCGAATGTTTTAGATGGAATTAGATGATTATACTGGGGTAATTCCACGCCAGACTATCGATGGAACTGGCCAGAATAGGTGTCCATCCACTAAGGATCATACCGAAGCCGCCGAGCAAATTTCTTTCGACCAACTTCAAATTGTTTGCAAACTTCAAATTGTTTGCAACGTGAACATTTTGTCAACTTTTGATGTCGCAATCCTTGGCCAATGGGCAGCCCTAGTCAGATTGGGACCAGCCAGGGCTCTTTGGCTTCACAAAAGTTGAAAAACTGGAAAACTGTTTAGAAAAGTCAATGAAAATTTCACAAATATGGAGCTAGCAAAAATAGCTGGTTCTTCAATTTTGCTGATACTTGGGCCACATCTCACTTATCTTAAGTTGAACCAGTCCACAAAATCTGAACCCTGGCCCAGCTTTTTAACTATTGATCAGTCCACATTTCATACTTTTACAGCTAACTATTGTGTCGAAACTTTAATGGCATGACCCAGGAGTGCTCGTATTGGATCTTGAAATCACTTTTGAGTTCAGAGATGATCTCCAAACACCATTTCAAGTGCCACATTATAGTTCCACAGATAGATTTTCAAGTGTTCTATCTCTAAGTTGATATTTTGGGTTTACAAGCTAACAAGTTAAGACATGTTTATGCAGACCATTCCTACCACATCAAAGTAACCTTTCCAGGCTGAGTATTCCCCTTGGTTCATTTCACTAACCTGATCAAGAATTCAGCACATTGGTCGATGTATGTCAACAGTCCTTTTTCAGGAGTAACTCCCTGGCTGATGCTGGAACTCACATAACAAGGGCCACACCACAATAAACAAGAAAATCGCAACATTTAAAACAAAAGTTGTCCTAGTCACTGCAGTTTACATTTCGAATCGTCTGCTTCCGCTGCCCAACGCCCGGTATGAAAAATTTACTTTGCGGCGTAACAAATTTCTCACACCCAGATTTGGCGCAGCGGTAGCAGACGATATCCGTCCCAGGCCACTTCCTGGTCATTCTCTTCGTCGTGCAAGAGGTCCTACTGAGAAGTCCACTCCGAGAATATTTATTGTATGTGGGGCTCGCGGCCGCGGCAGCTGCGGCTTGACCAGGACCGGCCGACGCGGCGGCTGGTGCGTGCGCCGGGCAGCATATGGGCTGTACCCGCCATGCAGGATGCAGCTGACTGACTCCGAGAGTCGTCGCTCGGTCTCTCTCGCTCCTGTACGGCCCGCCCCATGAGTGTGAGAGAGACAGAGCGAGACTCTGAGTGTGCAGGCTCCATTGTCCTTCCCCGGCCGTGAGTGATGGGCTCCACTGACCCGCGCGGCGAGGAAAGTAGTCCCGGCGATGACAAAATGGGACACGCAAGACTCCGAAGGGAAATGCGCGAGCACAGTGGATTGGCCAGGAGACCGGTGGAGGCGTTTTGAGCTCCAGAATCGCTGAGCAGAACTCGAACCGAACGTGTGACCCCACTCCTCGTCCGGAGAGCAATCCAATGGTGGGGTCACACGTTCGGTTCGAGTCCAGTCTCTGGAGCTCAAAACACGCCCGGGATTTCGACGCCTCCATCGGTCTTCTGCTCCACTGCGCTGCTGTGCCATTTTTAGCCCGTGTCCCAAAATTACCCCTACTGACCCTCGGCGTCAAGGCGGGATTTGGATTTTGGACGAATCTCCTTTCGCGTCACTCGGATAACGGTGGCCGAACTATGTTTGGCTTTTCGGCCAAAGCCGGGCAGCCCAAGGGGCAGCCGAGGCGAGAGCCGTTACAGCCCTGCCAGCCCTGCCAGCCCTGCCAGCCCTACGGTCCGCCGTTTGGTTCGGCGTTTGGCGGCGCCGGCCGAGGCACCGGCCGCCCGCCGCGCTGCCCAAATGCCCACCTACATGGACAAGATTACACAGCCGCGGATGAGAGGGCGGGTCGAGACAACGGGGCCGCGCCACTGTCGCTGTCTCTCTCGCGCTCGCGGGCCGCCCCCGGGCACACGCGGCAGTCTCTCTGTCTCTCTCGAACCCATACGGGACGAGTGCGAGAGGGACAGAGCGTCGCAAACGACTCTCGGAACCGGTCTGCTGGGCTGCGAGAGAGACAGAGCGACCAAGCAATGACCTGAGTCACCCCGCGACGCGCCGCGCCGCGACGCCGACGCGGCCCCGAAACCCGGAAAGTCGCGGAATATCGTCACCACGGTCAACAAGCAGCATGCCGCCGCGCCTCGCGCCGCACCGCGGCCCGTCAGGTCGTCTTCGTTAAGCCCAGCCAGCACAGCCGTCGCTCTGTCTCTCTCACACCTACAGGGGCCGCACTATGAGTGCGAGGGAGACAGAGCGACGGCTGTCAGCCTGCAGCCCGCCCGCAAAGCAGCCGCCTTAGACGCGGTCGCGTGGACACACGGGCCGCCCTGCCGCACCGCCCACGCCTCGGAGGACGGCTTCAAAAGGCCACCGCCGTCCCGCTGGGATTGCCATTTTGCGAAAAGGAAGAAAAAAGACCTGAGCCAGTGTTTTTCGAGGAAGCGACCATTACTTCAAAGTCAATATTTGGGATCGTTGGGTTTTTCGTTCGAGGGCTGGATGGACTTGTTGCCTCCGGACTCCGACCCCATGCGGGTCTGTGAGGGGTGAAGTGCCGAACATGATGCCCTGTTGTACCCGAGGGGGAAACGACTCAGAAATTTGGTGTACATCGGATAGGGATAACCCCGGATAACCCTCGGATTACCTCCGGATTACATCGAAAATTTTCCAGGATTACCACTGGATTACGCCGGATTACCTCAGAAATTCCCCGGATTACCCCGGATTACCTCAGAATTAACCCGGATTACTTCGAAATTTCTGGTTATCCGGATAGCGGATAACCAATTTGCTGTACATCGGATAACCGAAGTCGTTTCCCCCTCGGTTGTACCTCTAATGATCTAGAGATCATTACCTAATTTTTTAACGCTAAACTACCGACTTTCAAAAACTCTACTGACTTCCCACTCAGCAATTTTGCTTTTATAGAAATCGGATGTGCGAACTCGAAATCAGCGATTGAACAGCGCTACATGATGGTGGGTCAGTTTCACACGACATGATGAACTTGACTAATGACAATAAAAAAAGAACGAAGCTTTTTCTTTATCCACTTTCAAAGTTTTCACATTGTCGAAGTTCTACTACACTGCATACGTCGTGCAAAACGAGCACATCGTTCCGGAGGAGGCCAACACGGTCGTTTCGAAAAATTTTACAACAACCAGAGTGCACAAGGTGATGACTTCTCCGCGGAAACGCGAATTCAACGCCCGGATTTCAAAACAACCGCACCGCCAACAACAACAACAACAACAACAACAATTGCGACTGGTCATAAAGGCGGCTCGTTAGCCTACGACCCGGCCTAGTGGCGGCCCGGTGCAGCCCGGTGCAGGCCAGCGGTGCGCCGGCAGTGCCAACCGTCCGGCAGTAAAACGGTCAGGCGGCACCGCTACCAACTGCAGCGGCGAAAAATTCCGAATTTGACACACATTGCCGCTGGGCCGTGCCGAGGCCGTGCCGTGCGGAGGGCCTGCACTCCTACTTAGGCCCTACCTAGGGCCGCGGTCAGACTGGGCGGACGCCGCCGAGGGGCGGGGGAGGGGAGGGGAGAGGTGGAGGAGGAGAGAAGGGGAATTGTCCACGGCGGGGGTCGGATGGGGAAGGGGGTGGAGAAGGTGCATTGACTTCTTCTGCTTGCTTTCTATGGAGCCAAGCCGCAATTTGGAGTGGTGGGTGTCTGGCCGGACAGTCGCAGAGAGAGGAGGGGGGGAAGGGGGGGAAGGGGCGAACGAGAGAATCGTCGAAGACAAGGAGTGGACAGGAATAGGGACACGGCAAAGATGAGGAATGTTCAAGACCAACCAGGATGGGATAAGGAGTGCTTGGAAACGATGGAGCGTAACAATTACAAGTACAAGAAGTGAATGAAAAGGGCGTAGAGGAGTGAAAGAAAAGGAGGAGGACAGAGGGCAAAAGGGTGAATGAAAAGAAAAGAAAAGAAAAGAAAAGAAAAGAAAAGAAAAGAAAAGAAAAGAAAAGAAAAGAAAAGAAAAGAAAAGAAAAGAAAAGAAAAGTGCCTTCCAGAAAGGAAATTTAGGCCATGTTACAGTAAGTGAGCTCAACGCAAGCATAAACCAAGCAAAATTTCTTCATGGTTTGAAAACTTTTGTTCTTTTCCAACGCAAAGACACATGTAAAACCACGATCGTGCGAAAGATAAACTACATTCGTAGGGTGGTAATATTTTTTCGCGAGGCGTTTAGAGCGAAGAGGATGCAGGACAACCGACAGGCACAAGGGCGTGATAACCGAGGGCCGCGATGGAGACGTGAGGGACTGCACTGCAGAGCGCTGCAAGGCGACGAGCACGAGAGTCGTTCTCGTCGCTCTGTCTCTCTCGCACCTACACGGAACGCCCTATGAGTGCGAGAGAGACAGAGCGACGTCTCTCGGAATAAGTCTGCAGTTTGCCAGTTTGCTGGTGCAGCGGACTCGGAACGGCTGGCCGAGCGGCGTGAAGCACAACCGCACTCTTGTCGCCTCTTTACTGCACGCGCGATGAAGTGTCCGAGGGCTCGCGTCTCATTTTCAGCACCGCATTCCACCACATCCCGCCACGCCGCGCCGCGCCACGCCGCGCCACGCCACGCCATCGAGTGGGGCAAGGAAGCCCCCGCCACGGCCCTGCCGCCGTGGGCCACGCCATGCGGCACGCGCAGAAGCGTTTTAGCTTCACGCCTCGCCGGCACAGAGGGCCCCCACCGCGCCCCGCCTCGCCCCGCCCCGCCCCGCCCCGCCGCATTCGTCGTTTTGTAATGCTGACCTGCATTGTTTCATATAAACTGGCTGGTCCAGTCTGCCCCACTCACACACATACGCGTGCGCACACGCAGACATACAAAAACACACACACACACACACACACACACACACACACACACAGAGAGAGAGAGAGGCGTGGGCGGGCGTCGTCGTCAGCGGAACTGACGGACCAGAGGCAGGAGGGGGAGGGGCGGCGCTGGGAGGCGCGTCCTTCAGCGATGGCCATGTTGATACAGTGCGTTACCGCATAGGTGCATCGGACCGGAGGCGCCGGAAGGGAGAGGATCAGAAGGAGAGGATCGGAAGGCAGGGCCAGAGCGGCCAGAGCGGCCAGAGCACAGTGGGCCAGAAGACCGTGGTGGCGGTCAAAATCCTAGACGGGTTTGAGCTCCAGAGTCGCTAAATGGGAGTCGAATCGAACGTGTAACCCCACTAATGGATTGATCTCCGAACTAGGAATCCACTGGTGGGGTCAAACGCTCGGTTCGAGTCCTGTTGAATGGCACTGGAGCTCAAAACGCGTCTCGAGCTTTCGTGGTGTCAAAAGGGGTCAGTCGCTGCAGTGGCAGTGCAGTGGCAGTGCAGTGGCAGTGCAGTGGCAGTGCAGTGGCAGTGCAGTGGCAGTGCAGTGGCAGTGCAGTGGCAGTGCAGTGGCAGTGCAGTGGCAGTGCAGTGGCAGTGCAGTGGCAGTGCAGTGGCAGTGCAGTGGCAGTGCAGTGGCAGTGCAGTGGCAGTGCAGTGGCAGTGCAGTGGCAGTGCAGTGGCAGTGCAGTGGCAGTGCAGTGGCAGTGCAGTGGCAGTGCAGTGGCAGTGCTGCGTGGGGCGCCGTCGTGTTCGGATTCCTGCCGAGACAATGCCGCTCGGGCCTCTGCCTTTGATTGATGCGTGGCCGTACCTTTGGCCGAGCCTTTGACTTGCCCGGCCGCGCTGCAGACAGACTCCGAGAGTCGTCTTCGTCGCTCTGTCTCTCTCGCACCTGTACAGGACGCCCCATGAG